TTATATATAGATCTTAACAACAAAGAAGATATCTTAAATCAGTTAAGTGAATTTCAAAAAATATCAAAGACCACTATGCAGCTAACCAAAACCTTTATTGTCAAAGAAAATAGTTATTTTTCGAGAAAAAATATAAATGTATATGGACAGCTACTTGCTGGTATTAAAAATTTTAAGAATACAAAAAAGCAAAATATTTATCATTAGGCAAACTGGCTTCTTATCTCTATCAACGGAATTCTGCTATAAAGACTGAATCATTACAAAGTGAAGCAAAAAAATTCGAATATAACCAGCATCAGTACAATGAAAAAAGCATAAAATTTCTCAAGAAAATGTTGACCCAACCATAATAAAAGCATGTAAAAAAAAGAAAAGCTTTCAAAAAATTCTTAATTTATCAAAAAAACAATGAGAATAAACAAAATTAATAATGTAAAAGTTTTTAATCTTTTATAAAAATATACATATTATTATGTGTTATAACATTTGCAGAATTAACCGTATACTAATCAAACTTCAAAAATTTTCCTGATATTCATTCTGGACTGTCACGTAAGCATCTGAAGCACAACCTAGTTACATTTTCAGGTTGTTATTTATATCTATATTATAAGAAAAGGATAGGAAATAACAGATGACACATAAATTTCTCTAAGATAGCATGCCAAGTAACTTATAAAAAACGGTGTGAAATAACAATCATGAATACTGCTAATAATCATCGCATATAGTATTTAGGATCAATAAAAACAAATAATCATGAATACTTTTCATAATCTTTTTATATTTGAATATATAACATAATATTCTCTGAAAACCTTTAAAACAACCTGTAAAATTTAGTAAAAAAAATATAAAAGAATAGAAGATATATATAAACAACTATACTAAAAAATCCAGAATAGTATTACTATAAAAACTTAAACCTAAATTCAATTAATACTGATTCAAACAGTAAAACCCATCTAAATGTATTCTCTACAACTGCACACTTCATGGAAATTCTTTAAAGACACATATACCTAGCCCCAACTCATAAAACCACTATATATTTTGTTCTCTGTGAATAATCCTGAAAAGAGTATGCATAGAAACATTCTACTAGATAATGACAGAAAATAAATGCTTTAAATTTAATGCACCAGCTTTGGCACAAATTGGTGCATTAAATTCAAGATGGAACTTAAGAAAAATTTTCCTTCAGAAATAAAAGTTAGAATAAAACAAACAAATCTATTATCTTAGTATATTATTTTACTCAATTCTTAGCCAAATATTTTCCAAGTAAGTTGAGTTTCTCTTTAAAAATAATAGACGTTCAAATAATAATGATCCCAAATTTGTTCTATGAGTACTCATTATAATTCCAGCATTGGAAAAAAGACGCTCACTAGGTGTAGATGTAGCTTGCATAGCCAAATATTCATGGGCAAAAGAAGCTAAAACAGGAAAGTTATTTTTATGTGCAGCCCACCAAGTGCAAGCATCTGATTCTAAATCAATCTCATTAAGTTGAAGATAATTTTCAACTTCATTATTTTGAGAAAGTGAACAAAATTTTTTTTTAAGAGATTTGGTAGATAATTCATTATCTAAGTTATATGGTTTAACAATATCTGTTAAATTTGTTAGTGGAGTTTGTTGAGAATCTTGAGTATACTTATTATACATATTTTTTAAGGTATCTATAACAAACTTGCGATCAAGAGAGTTTGCAAATTCAAGTTTTTTGTGACATAGATCCAACAATGTAGGTAGTAAATAATCATCAGCTGGAGAATTCCAATATGCTTCAAGGGCTTTGTACAATGCTACCTGTACTTTTCTTCCCAAATTATCACAGTTTTGTGGAACATTGATATTTATTCTATGATGTTTTAAAATTTCACACTCTTCAACATCTTCATATTCAATCTCATTATCAAAGACCATTTCTAAGTTTTCTAAGTTAACCAAATTTGGTGTATTATAAAATTGGCAACCTTCATCATCTAAATCTTGCTTAATATGCACCAGGGTTGGATTAATAAATCCAATCATTGATGTTTTGCTTGCACCTAAATAAGTTGACACTTCAGCAAATAGACAAAGAAGAATTACTAATTCTTTTAGTGCGTCCTATTCTGAATTAGTAAGCATTATTTGATAAAGACATTTTGATTCTTTTTATATTTGAAGGTCATTAGATTGTGCAATTGTTGCTTTTACCATATTTATTGCATTTTGTAAATGCAAAAGACATCTCCATGCAAGGTATAAAGAATTTCATCTTGTTTCTGTATCCTGAATTACATGTAACTACTTATGATTTTTTTTAATTATCTAGAAAATTAATTTTAAAAAATTATTAATAAAGTAATTAAAAAAAAATCTCAA